CGGCAGTTGGTAAGCACCCGCCACTTCTACGTGAGTTGCTTCAAGGCGACTTACGCGTCGTGGACACCTGGTCCAAAGAACCAGGCCTTAGTGCCAATCCGGCAAAATACGTGCATGATTCTTTTTTCAAAGAAAAAACTGTCCAGCTGCAACTTGCTTCCTTGAAAAGCATTGCACTGACTTTTTCAGACAAAGTTAGATATCTGTGCGTTATTCTTGACAGAAAGTTAACTTGGCGGCGCAATATAGAAGAGGTTGCAAGGAAGCTGTAGCTGCAATGTATGCCCGTAAATCAGCGATAGGGGAAAAATGGGGATTGAAGCCTCACATTGTAAATTTGTTGTACGTCCCATTCTGTTCTATGGCATCACAGTTTGGTGGCCGTTCGTATATAAATCTACAAAAAAAAAAAAAATTAGGAAACGTTCAAAGCGTGGCGTGCATGATGATCACAGGAGCTTTACAGCGACGCTGACTAAAGCCCTAGAGACCTTGCTTTACTTTCTATATGGTAGACTACAGCCGAGCTGTAATGCCATTAGATTGAACGCGCTGTTCGAATAGAGTGACACGAGATTAGGGCAATCTGGAATATTAGAAGATCTTCCAGTAGACTTTAGCCGCCTGGAATTCACAGTCACGCCTACTGGACTAAATAATCAATTCCAGACAAGGATCCCCTCAAGGGGTAAATGGAAGAAGGATTCAGTCCTGATCTCGTATTTTGACTCAGCAGCCATCTGCACTGATCCAAGCTTGATCTGAAGATTGTCATGGAATGTAGACTTTCACTAAATGAACTGGCAAGGTGTTAGGTCACTAACGACATACCGGGAAACTGTGTTGCATTGTTGCAGATGAACCAGCAAGGAAAGGAACCTTGGTGTTTGCGCTCAGAACAGCGCGTAACGCGGGCATTGCGCTATCTTCCTGCGAACTCTGGCTGGAGAATAACTTTATCGAAAGGGAAAATACAAGATGGCCTGCGGAGCCTACCTGCAGGATAGCAAGACATATCTGGGCTAAGCTGGATAAGTATAGATCTCGGCCTCTGCTCCGCTTGCAGCGACTACTGCTTCGACATGTAATTGGAGTTCTCAAAGGACGCTGACTGATGGAAATTTTCGCAGATAGAATGGGTTTGCAGTCAAACGACTACTGTCGTACCTGCCGTGATGAGGAAATCTTGAACGCTCGTTCCTCCATTATTCTTTTGAATGTCTGAGCTCAGCCAGCATCTACCACTTTGTGCGCTTCATCAGAGCCACGAATTAGTTCCATTTCTAAGGTAAACGGACCTGGTGCTCTTTACCAGGAAGTATAAAATCCCCTCACTTCAGCTCCCTGCCATAGGCAATCAGATTCTGAAGCTAGGGGAGTCTGCAAAATATCTAGGCGTAGTCCTGGATAAAAAGCTTAACTGGGCGCAAAATATACAAGAGCGTGTTAAAAAAGCGACGGTAGCCCTCTACAGCTGCAAGGGGTCGATTGGGCGTAGCTGGGGGCTGTACCCTAGCATCATGTATTGGTTATACACGGTAGTTGTTAGGCCGAATCTATTATATGGGGTCTTGGTATGGTGGCCAAGTCTCAACAGGAAATCTACAACTGAAGCACTCCAAAAGGTGCAAAGAACTGCGATGCTCTGCATCTGTGGGGCCCTGCGCACAACTCCATCGGAGGCTATGTGCGTGCTCCTCGATATTTTGCTAATTGAAATTGTTGGAAAGCAATCAGCGGGGTGTGCCGCCTTGAGGTTGAGGGAACTACCAGGCTGGAGAGACACTCAGGAAGGCCACACCGCAATCTTAAAGAACGTAAATATACCGGACACGGATTACTGTGCACCAAGGTTGAACTTCACAAAGAGGTATAGGATTTCCATTCCAGATAGAAAATTCTGGTCAGGAGGGGCTCCCGATGACAATGGATCACTCCACCTCTACACCGATGGCTCTAAGCTAGACGGCAAGGTAGGAGGGGGGGTCTTCTCAGCCCGACTGGGGCTGGAAATATGTTTTCGCTTACCCAACTACTGCAGCGTCTTTCAAGCTGAGGTCGCTGCCATACAGGAAGCGGTT